GGGCAAGGCAGGGCACCCCCCCCTCGCCTTGGTTCGTTCGGTTTTCGTTAGCTTTTGGTCCACAAAAAGCTAGCTGGCGCCCGCAGTAATTCGGTTGAAATTTAGGATGCGAGCACGGGAACGGGCGAAGGTAATAACTATCGCCGATCTTCGGGACGAGATCGGGAAAAGTGTTACAAAGGAGAACTTTTTTTTGTTAAATCTCATTAACAAAAAAAAAGATTCTCCGATAAATTTTGCTAATTCTCATAGTTGACGAGATAATTAATAATTAAACAATTGTCTCAAAAATCGACGGAGCGATCGCCGTGATTTTTAGATTTTTCGTTAAAAAGGCCCTCTTGATCAATTATCTATTTTTTTTTTTTTTTCTATTAATGCGCGAAACTTTACAAGTTTATACAGCATGATATATATACAAAGCAAGCGGCGACAGTAGCCACGCGGGCGGTGTGTGACTCCGGCGATCACCCAAGCTAAGCAACGCTCAGTTGGGTTAGTACTTGGATGGGTGCCCGCCTAGTCACACCCATCGGCGTGTAGACTGCCGCCGTCAGGCACGGGTGCGGAGAGCTGGTGTGTTCACCGAGTCAGTGTGATTGATGAACACAGCAGAATCCCCGCAGTACCGGCCGGCTGCGCTACTGAGGTTTTACATGGTTTCCCTCAGTACACGCCAAATGGGCGCAGTACAGAAAGTCGGCCCATGCTACCGCAAAAATAATGAGAGGATAGTAGGAGAGGCTAATAAGAGGATAGTAGGAGAGGCTAAAGGCTAAGACGAAGGGGCGCCTATCAAACCATGGTAACAATGGTAATAGGAAAAGGAAAAAATGTAAAAATAAAAAAAATAAAAAATATATATACAAAGCTTATTGGTGTTGTCTACATTACGTAGCAGTCTTGTCTCTGTGGAGGGTTACACTCTCAGATTGCTCTCATGGAGAAAGGTCGATATTATTTCAATGCACTTAGGGTCTAACTCTTTTAGAATTTTTTTGCTGCTATAAGGGGGCCAGAATTGGTTCTTCACCAATGAACAGTACATTCTACACCTGGGAGCGTCGTGTCAAGGACAGTCCCAGAGACCATGGTCAAGGTCCTCGTCAGGGCAACCACACTCACATTCAGCTGAATTTATCATTTTTTTTCTTTTCAAGAAGGCTGCAAGGTGATAGTGGTTGGCCCTGGCTCCATTGACCCATGCTATCGTGGACCGCGGATATTCCTTGTTGTGGAACCAGGGTTTTCTGCTATCTCTGTAGAATTCCTTGAAAAATGTTTTTCCTTTACCTCTGGCGTTGTCGTTTCTCCCTTCCTCTATATAAATTTCTAGGGTAGATTCTAGAGAATCTTTCTTCATATATTCTCAGAAGTCGGTAAACGGTACTGGGAGTCTGAAGTTAGGGAGTAAATCCAT